CTTACTTTTAGCAGTTTTAGAAGTGCCATAAGGCCGACATACATGAGGAATTTTACCGGCTTTCCCAAACAAACTTTTCCCCCTTAGCCTGCTCCTTTTCAGCATTTTTGTTTGTGTTCTTGCAGATGATATTTACAGCTTGGTTGTTAAAACAATTTCTAAATATTTGTGCAGGAGTATACTCCACACCAACAAAACCTTGGACTCCAGGGGCTCTTTTCGGGCAAAAGTGTGGTAGTTGTTGGGCAGTATCTGGCACCTCAGGTCCGTTCCAAACAGCTCCTGGCTCTTCTGGGGTCAGAGATGTTTTTTTCCCTGTTCCTCTTCCTCTCCCTTTCACTGTCAGGGGGGCTGGCATTGGTTTGGCCTTTTTTCTGGATGCTGCACCCTCCTGGCCACATTCTTTTCCCTCTCGGTTTGAAGGAGGCCTACTGATGGGGACAGGGGCTTGTGCATCCCCTCTCTCATCCTCTGGACTAAAATAAAAGGGAGGAAAATATACAGATATAAATGTCTGAATTTATTTTATTTCCTTTATTGCTTTTATTTCTCCAGTGTCATCCTATCTGTTTTCTAAACACAGTCTCAACTTTTGATTTGATTCACACTTTATCCCTCTGCTAACATTACTAGTTGATGGAATCAGTAACTGAATTGTAATGCAATGAATATAATAACATTAGACCTCATAACAAACAACCAAAGAGGGCAAGCGGAATGAGGCAATAAATGAAAGGTATTGCTTGACGTTTTTTTACTGAAATAAATAGTAGCCTCTATTGATAGTGAATCTTGAGCTCAGGACTTCACTTTATGACACAATTACGGCAAATGGCCATCCATTATAAAAACTCTTAGGACTAATTATTTTCGGCGTTATACAGAAACAACAACCGATAAATGCAACACAAACAATAAGAAATAAGCAAAGTTACTCACTTTTTTATCTTCGAAGGGATCAATCCCGTGATCATACTCCTCTTCCTTGCCAGTTGTCAGCTTCAGAATCTGAGGAATCCACCGCTGCATCGCTAAGCGGTCCGCCAGACAAAATACATTCTACGGCTTCTTCCGTAGTGTAACGCCGTTTTGACATGTTGGTTTGAATTTGTCTTGGGATATGTGTGTGTGTGTATGTATGTGTATTTGTGTGTGTGTGTGACTGTATCTAGATATCTCGTGTTGTATTTATTTCTCTTACGCTGGCAGAATTACTCTTCTTTAGTATTACTCTCTCGTCTCTCTGTTTCTCTTTGTTTATCTCCCGCCGCCAAAAACATACACAGCAACCTATGTTGATTGGTCGAGAAGATGGTAGCATGGGCAGAGGTTTGCCTGGACCTTTACATTTTAAACCTATCCGGACACAGGGGGGTGGGACTTAGTCTAAAACCTTTGCTGTTTGGCTCAGACAGAGGGGCCGCGTGGGTCTCCTTGACGAATCAAGGCTGTAAAATGTGATAACGTTGCCCCGATCACGTCGGAGCCTCTGAATCCCGGAAAAGGACATAGTGATACCAGCAAAAAGCCTAGAATAGCCGCTTTACCTCACTTTTTAAATCAGATGGATAGGATTAGCGGTTAAAAAGTTATTAAGCATTTTAGAACGCTACCTCTTTGAAGCCGCGGGCGGCTCGCTCGGCCTTTAAGGGTTAATAAGCCTTGCTCAACATCATTTATTTAGCTAATACTACAGCGGGCTGCAGGCGAACCAAGTCCGCGTTACGATGCATTCCTTGATCTCCAGTTATAACGCCGGACTCCGCCGCTGGCCGAAGCTAACGGAGCCCCAGGGTGCTAGCTACGGCCGCCGGGACGCGCTAGCGAGCTAGCACCCTGCAGGCCCGTTGGACTCCGGCGGCCCACCCCTTTTAACATTTGCTCCCGTTTAGCATTATGGGCGTCATAGCCATATAGTATAAAAGTCTTACCCAAGGCTGAATCATAAACTAAACTGTATATATGTATAAAGGGTTACGTCCTTAGCTGGCTAATAAGCTACATAACAGGCTAAGCTAACAAGCACACAAACACCTGCTAACGGGGTTAACATGTATAATATTATCATTTTACTCACCGAAAAAAGCTGAAAGTACACTTCTTGGAAGATCTGTTAGTACATTCAAGCGCACAGCACAACATTTTAATTATCTGGTATTTGTAACAATATTCCCTAACAGGCACGATCACCACGAACACAGCTAAAGGATCAAGTACAGTAACTACAACTAACTAACGTTGTAGCCTCTATGGTTGTAGCCTAGCAGATTGGAAAAGTTGCTGTTAGCTGACAGTGAGGCACGTATCTGTCAATCAAAGTGACCACGCCCTAATGTATGCACAAACTTTAAGACCTAATATAAATATAAAGGGTCGCGTTAGAAAACAATTCACTCACAGATCCATAATCATGAAGGTGGAATCTAACTATATCGATAATAAAATGTATGGAGCCAGGGGTAGAAACATGTTTTTTTCTGCTGTAAAATCGGGCATTTTAACATGGGGCTCTATGGAAATTGCTCCTTTCTGCAGCCATCGCCTATCGGCCAATATATGAACTGCAGTGTGTGGCACTTCCGTATTGGCTTCCCGGCTCTACCCCACAGTTTGCCGCTTGCATACAAAGCAAAAAAAAGCCCGCTTCTTCTCCACTATTGCCAAAATGGATGCCGGTTTTGTAGCAAGGGTAGCGTTGGTTTATGCAATGTCTCGCAGGAGGCCACGTATTGTGCGTCACTGTAGGGTACAGTACATCCGATACTCAGAAAACGTCTGCAACGGGGGAATACCACGTTCTTGTCCAAGAGCTCCGCCTGGATGGTGTACTGTTTCAGCAGTACTTCAGGATGAGCAAAGACGTGTTTGACGAGTTGCTCGGAAAAGTCAGTCCACTGATTGCAAAGGCAGACACCCGTATGCGTTTGTCAATCGGACCCGCCGAGCGACTCGCCATCTGCCTACGGTACGTTTTGTGTATTTCTACTTCTTTAATATGACTCTGTATATAAAGAGAGAGAATGCATGCAATGTTTGTGTGTCTGTGGTCTGTGTGTGTGTGTGTCTGTGGTATGTGTGTGTCTGTGGTATGTGTGTGTGTGTGTCTGTGGTGTGTGTGTGTCTGTGGTCTGTGGTCTGTGTGTGAGTGTGTCTGTGGTATGTGTGTGTCTGTGGTCTGTGTGTGTCTGTCTGTGTGTGTCTGTGGTGTGTGTGTGTGTGTCTGTGGTATGTGTGTGTGTGTGTGTGTGTCTGTGATGTGTGTCTGTGGTGTGTGTGTGTATGTGGTCTGTGTGTGTGTCTGTGGTATGTGTGTGTATGTGTGTGTGTGGTGGTGTGTGTGTGTCTGTGGTGTGTGTGTCTGTGGTGTGTGTGTGTGGGGGGGGGGATCTGTGTCTGCGTGGCGTATGACATTTAAAAAAAAAAATCATGTATATTACTTTTTTCAACCGGTGACTCGTACAGCACCATAGCATTCAGCTATCGGGTCGGGCATGCAACAGTGGCTGTCATCGTGAAGGAGGTTGCGGGTGCCATCTGGACCGCGCTGGTCGAAGAGACTATGCCGGTACCACAGACGGAGGACTGGAGAGCCATCGCTGCAGAGTTTCAGCAGCGCTGGAACTTTCCGAATTGTGTTGGTGCCATTGATGGGAAGCACGTGGTGATCCAGGCTCCGGCAAATTCTGGGTCCCTGTACTTCAACTACAAGTCCACCCACTCCTTTGTACTACTGGCTGTAGTGGATGCCCAGTACCTCTTCAGGGTAATGGATGTTGGAGGTTTTGGAAGGAGCAGCGACGGTGGGAGCCTGCGGAATTCCGCTTTTGGAGAGAGCCTCCGAGATGGCAGTCTGCAGCTACCACCTGACACCGTCATCCCAGGAGCAGAGCGGCTGGGCCTTCTTCCCCATGTGTTTGTTGGGGATGAGGCTTTTCCGCTGCTGGACAACCTGCTGCGTCCGTTCCCTGGACGTCAGCTCACGCGTGAAAGGAGGCTGTTCAATTACCGCCTCAGCCGGGCCAGGTTGGTTGTTGAATGTGCGTTTGGCATCCTCTCATCCCAGTGGGGAATGTTCCGGCGTGTCATCACCACCAGCCCGGAGGTAACAGAGTTGTGTGTGAAGGCCACCTGTGTGTTGCACAACTTCCTCCGCAGGAAGACAATAGGAAGGCCATCACGCACACCTGTCGTCCCTGTCGTCGCAGAGTCGAGTGATGAAGCTCCAACCCTGCGCGATGCACCTAGGATGGGCTCAAACAACGCCACAAGCCGATCCATCCAACTGCGGGAGACCCTCTGCTCCTATTTGAATGAGGAGGGTGTAGTGTCATGGCAGCATAAAGTGGTGTAGGGTCACCATGGCTCCTCCAAACCAAAAGCTCTTTTAAGAGCTACCCATTTTCTTTAAAGAGCAAATATTCCAAATGAGCCATTTTAAAATCAAACATTCCTAATAAACATGTTTCTTGAATTGATATTATTATATTATGATATGACTAACAACCTTTTTCTTTCAGCCCTGTTTTTACTAATAAACCACTCATAATTTCAATAGGTTTTCACATGACCAATTACAGAAGAAAGCACATTATATATACCGACATACATGAAGCTTCTGGTACAGTATGTTGCAACTGACAAACCACATGAACAAGTGAAGACACAGTAACATAACATACTTTAAATAATGTTTTATTTGGTAATGTTGTGAGTGAAGTGTGTGTGATGAGTGATGAGTGTAAAAAAATGTAATGTGGATCAGTATGTGTGAAACAATTATTAAATTATAAATTGTCCTGGTCCACGTCAAAAATTAACTGGTGTATCCCGAGGCGGACTCTTGCCCTCTGTCCCCTTGTCATCAGCCTCATGGTGGGCAAGAGGCTCTTAAAAAATTGCAAGTCCTCGTCCTCCTCCACTATTGGCTGGGCAATTGCTGGGTAATTGCTGACAGCAGACTTTGTTCGAACGGGGACATCTCCATCTCCCTCCCCCGTTTTTGCCCCGGACCTCAGCATTCTCCTCCTGGCTGGCTGCTGCTGGCTGACTGGTGGACTGACTGGCTGGCTGGTTCACTCTCTACCTGGCTCTCTTCCTCTGCCACCAGGGTGGATGGAGGCAGGGTCTGCTGGGGGACATTGCTGGACGTCTCACGGTCTATGATGAATGGGGTTAAAAAAAAACATCACTGCCATGAAACGCCAGGGCTTGTACCCCCCTTCAGACCCTGCCCCGCTTCTTTTTGCCTCCTTCTCCATATTCTTCTCCTTGCGGAACCTGTCCCTCAAAGTCTTCCATCTCTTTTTGCACACATCCTCTAATAAAATGAAATGAAATAATAAAGTTAATAAATAATAAAGTTAATTTCTTGAATTTACTAAATTATTCCTCCATTAATGAATGCTATTTTTATGCTACATTCCATGCTGGCTAAATATACTGTCTATGCTTGATAGCTGTGCATGTATTATATGTTATATATTATGCTTATACTTATTATATTATATATATTATAATTTTATTTTTTTATTATTATATTAATATATATGATATGTTATGCTACATTACTAGCTGTCCATTCAATGTTAAAACGAAGTAAACTGGATATAAACTCCCCAAACAGTTGAAAACCTACCAGTTTCGCCACCTGGTTCCTCCGGTTTAGGTCCCGGTAGGTGAACAGAGTACAGTCATACAGGACTGGGACATTTGCCACGGCAATGATTAATTTATCCTCCATTTTATGACATATGGAAAATAGTCAAGACCTGCGGTATCAGCATACACGCGGTTTGATTGGCTAGCGCTTGTACTGGCGGGAATTGCATAAACGGGATTTGATTGGCTGATGCCAAGCATCGAGCCTCAAAAGTTGAACATTATTCAACTTTTGATGCCGATAGATGCTCGTGATGCTTGCAAAGCCATGCTCCCCACAATGCAGTTCGGCGAAGTTTAAAAATCTTCTACATCACCCCGTTCAAATGAATGGGTGAAGCGTTGAAAGCATTTTTCGATGCCTGTAGTGTAGACGGGCCGTAATATTTTGGTAACACTTTATATTAAGGTACACAAATTCACTATCAACTAGTTGTTAATTAACATGCATATTAGCAGTATATTGGCTCTTTATTATTCTACATGACCATATTCTACAAGTAATAAGCCATTAGTTGAGAGTTTTTCCTCAATAACCCTCTAATTACACTGAACAAAAATATAAATGCAACACTTTTGTTTTTGCTCCCATTTTTCATGAGATGAACTCAAAGATATAAAACATTTTCTATTTACACAAAATAACCATTTCTCTCAAATATTGTTCAAAAATCTGAAAGAATCTGTGATAGTGAGCACTTCTCCTTTGACGAGATAATCCATCCCACCTCACAGGTGTGGCATATCAAGATGCTGATTGCACAGGTGTGCCTTAGGCTGGCCACAATAAAAGGCCACTCTGAAACGTTCAGTTTTATCACACAGCAAGGAAATATGTGATATTGGGCTATACACATAAACATTGATTGATTGAACATGTCAAGTTTCTTTATTTAGACACAATTAACACTTATAGTTTCATGTCTTATTACATAAGTTTATATCATATTTGTTAAGTGTTATTATGGGAGAATTACTATTCTTGTGGTCCTACTGCCTTATTAGGCCCATATTGAGCAGTGCATATTAAGACCAAAACTTATGTACAACAACTTCCATACTTGCAATAAATAAGAACTAATTAGAGGGTTATTGAGGAAAAACTCAACTAATGGCCTATTACTTGTAGAATATGGTCATGAAGAATAAGGCATTAATAAGTGTTTTACAATGACTAATAAAGAGCCAATATACTGCTAATATGCATGTTAATTAACAACTTGTTTATGGTGAATTTGTGTACCTTAATATAAAGTGTTACCAATATTTTATTTTATTAAATATTTATTTGTGTAGTTGATTTGCCAAAATATTTGAGGTCCTTGACCAAAAACTGTGAAATTTGAGGACTTGCGAGGGCTATTTTCTTTGTAAGTTAGCTTTTGCCTTCCCGTTCAACTCATTTTGTTTTATGTACCTTTTCTGTATACATACTGAATATGTTGGAAAAACTAGCTAAAACTAAAGTGTAAGCTGAAGGTCATTAATCATTTATTTTTTTTAGAAACAGAGGCTCCAGTCTGTGACTCTGTTGTCACTTTGTCGGCCAAGGTCTTCAGTTACCTGCTCTCCTTCACCAGAGGTTGGGGGTCGGGACGGGAGACGGAGTGAGCCGGAGAAAGAGATCCGCAGTGTAACTACATGAATAAGAGAAGAGAGGACAGCAGTGTGTAAGGTACACCTGCAGGACGGGCCAGACAGCTGAGGTGAGAGGATATGTCGGAGAGATGCCCTCAGTACGGTGGCTGAGAAGTGCAATCGACAATTACAAAGTGTGAAACACTTTAACAAAGCTTGAGACAAATTTACATTTTCTAAAACAAAATTATATTTTCTAAAACACTTTAACATTAACAAAAACAAATTAACAAGATGCAAAACACTTTTACAAAGCTAGAGACAAATTTGCATTTTATAAAACAAAATTACATTTTATAAAAACAAAATTACATTTTATAAAAACAAAATTACATTAGCGAAAAACTGAGACAAATTTACAAGTGTTGAAATACTTTAACATTTCCCGAAACACTTTAACAAACTAGAGAATCAAACCGGAAAGGAAATGCCCATCATACCAGAAGTGACGTGCAAGCTGATAGACCACCAGTACCTATGGACGGGACGAGTGTGTTTATGGTTGTTAAACATGTTTTGTCCGTTCAGTGGAAACCACCTGGGCCAAGTGACATGGTTTTGTTCATCACGATGCGCACGAGAAAGTTACAGGTTTGCCAAGTAAGAAGTGGAGCTGTGCCTTTTACACACAGCCTTCGCCAGGCCCGGACTGGCCATCGGGAGGGCTGGGAGGCTTCCCGATGGCCTGGCCTGTTAAGTGGCCTGCTGGCCTGATGCATTTCTTTTTTTAATGTATGTATTGTGAACGCAACGCTGCGCAAATGTGGGTCTGACTCTGTCTCACAGAGGGTGACTGGCTGTCTATATGATGTGGCCTGCCGACATGGCCACTTTCATACAGATCATACACTAAAGCCCTCGATTGGTCTCTGTGTGTCATTCAAGCTCGGGAGGGTGTGTATGTGTGGCGCGAGCAAGCGAGAGAGAAAGCGCGCGCACTAAGGGTGTAACGGTTCACAGAAGTCACGGTTCGGTTCGTACCTCGGTTTGGAGGTCACGGTTCGGTACGGTTCGGTACAACAAGAAAAAGCAAAAAAAAGTCCCAAATGCATAATTCCAGGTTTGTTGTTATTTATGTTTGAACAGTAGTGCAAGTTTCAGTTTAAAAATAAATAATTGTATTAAACAGTTAAAAACAAACCATACCGTTAAAAACAAACCATACACAGTACACTCAGATGGCCATATTATCTATAATGGTTGATGTCAAACAAAAAGGTTTCATCAAGCTGTAAAACTAAAAAGAATGTCTTGAAAATATGACATCATAAATAATAAGAAAGTGTTTCAAGAGCGCAAAGTCGTTGAAAAACATATGCCAAAAGCTTACGTTATTTATTTTCGTCTCTCGGCTCTCATGTTTATTGGCTTCTTAAAAACAGCGGGGATCAGCTGTTGAACTGCTGTTGTCTTTTGCCGGGCTCCGGTGATTGGCAAATCTGGGTGATGCCTTCTGATATGATTTAGCATGTTTGGCGTGTGTTCCCATTAGCATACCGCACCACTGTAGAACAACGCCGACACACCGTCCTCGTCCGATCCACCACTCGTCCGATCCACCACTCGCACACTTCATCGTTATTGTAGTCCACAGGGAACCCGAAATGTTCCCACACAGCTGATTTAAAAGAAGCAGGTGGGTTCTAGCTCCTGTGTGTTATCTGAAATCGCCATACTAACTTTTCTTCTTCTTGTATTTTGTTCGTTTGTTGTTGTGTTTCTTCTTGTTCTTCATTTGTTGTTTAAGGGCGGCTGGCAAACAGCTTTTAGGCGCAATACCGCCCCCTGGATTATATATAGTGTAGTGGATACTGCCCTGAATGACAGACTTTTTTCCCACTCGTAAAAAAAAGGCGTATTCGTCGTGTGACTGCGTGTGCCGAACCGTGACGTCTGAACCGTGACGGTACGGGACGAATACGGATACCGTTACACCCCTAGCGCGCACCGGTTACGTGTATTCTTGTTGTTAGCATCTGGTGCTAGCTAGCTGCGCTAACGGATATCATGAGCTGTCAACAAGGTGGAAGAGAGTCCTCTGCTGTCAGACTGAGAGACTGATAACCTCAGCTCAGGTGAGGTAAAGGACTGAGTGTTTAGATAGTTAACTTAGTCTAAGTTCTCAGTGGGTCTCAAACGGTTTGGTCACCCTTTATGTAAACACATATTTCCATTTGAAGGGGGAGTGATTAGTAAAATATGCATGAATAATAACAAATAAAATGTTAACTGGTGAAAAAAGGTAAGATAAACTTGTTGAGAGCTAAAACTAGTCTTTGCTGCTGCCTCAAAGAGGAGCAGGGGGATAGGGGGGAGACGGGTGAGGCTGATTCAGGAGCCCAGACACACTCACAACTATAAATGAACCAAAAACAAATAAATAAACAAGTTTCAATGTTTTTTCATATTGGATATGGTATGTTATTAGTTATGGCCATGTACTTATGATTTTATGATTATTTAAATGTATACAGTTCTGTTTCATATGGGTGTTGTCTCTTTATTTCCCCCTCAAAGTGCACCAGATTGATGCATTTAAGTCCAACATTTAAAACAAATCTTACCAAGGGAGCATGTCCCCGGACCCCCCTAGAGGATTTCAGGTCCACCTCCACTTAAAATATGTTCACATGGATAGGTTCCTAGATGTGCACAGCAACGCCTAAATAGATTTGCACAGTAACGCTGTATATATTGACAAATACATCCAGGAAAATGGCACAAAAGATAACTGGTAGTGGCCTGGCTGGGTGTATAATTCCCGGCCTGATTTATTGTCCCAGTCCGGCCCTGGCCTTCGCTGTGTTTGCCTTCATTAGACAGCTAAAAAGCAACTGCAGGCTGCTTCGTTTTAAGCACACACACCCAGGGCCGTCCCTCCCTACAGGCCGATCACGCAGACTGCGTGGTAGTGATGGGAATTCCGGCTCTTCTTGGTGAGCCGGATCATTTGGCTCGGCTCACCGAGAAGAGCTTTCGGCTCCCAAACGGCTCTTCAGTTGACCACATATTATACCTTTTAATTAAATGAAATGTAGCCCTGTTTTGACTAATGAATGATTTATATGTGTACACATATCACTTAAATTATTCAACACATCCTTTGTACTGAAGTATTCAAAAGTAAAAATTACATGTTTAATATAAATGATTTGCTGTGGCCAAATGTTTTCATTGCATTTACAGACCCCAACTCTCTGATCCCACCCAATGAATGCACTGACTTGCTTGTAGAACCACGCTACACAAAGCAAATAGCAACACCTATAACAATTATTTTAAAAAAGGGGCTACTGTATCGACATTTTAAAATTATATTTAAAGAAAAGGCCCTGACAAAACAGCAGGGCTCTATTTCAGTATTAACTATAGAAAAAAAGACAGCAACAGCTGCCATCAAATCTTTGCTGAGCCTAAGGATAATCATAAATAAATAACAGTGAAAATAAATATATTGCAGTGCTCAAAACAGCAGCATCCAACCGTCTCTAATCCTTGGATATTACATGTCACTGCATGCATGCACGGAGCAGCTGTAGCGCGGAGATCATCATATCATTCTGTCTTGTATTACCTATCATGCTATATTTGAACAATATATTGTAGGGCCATATCTATATAAAGTATATATATGATTCTGTGAGCTGCAGCTGACCACACCCCCCTGCAGGAGAGGGAAACGTGCTCTGAGATCAGCTGCTGGTCTCTCAGAAGAGGGGGAGAAAAAGAGATCTCCGTCCTCCGTGTTTTATTCTTATAGAAGTAAGAAGAGAAGTAATGGGGCAGAAACCCTCCTTTTTACGCAGCGGTCCAGACATAGACATCAAACGGCGACACATATTCAGTTGCTAGTTACTTTGGCATTAGGGCAGGGATATCTAGATACTTTCCAAGGTTTGACATCATGAATTCTGCTACTTTTAAAGCAAGCAACGATGTTTTCAAATCTGTAATCAAAAAGCTCCTCAAAAACACTATCGAAGCAGTTCCTGCCGTTGCTACGTTAGTTCAAACGGTAACAACGGACTATTTTTCTTAGCGGATGCATGTCAATTTAAATCAATACATACTCTTTTTTAAATCAATAAAATAATTTTCTAAATCCATAAAAGCATTTCAATTAATATTGGGAGTCATGTCGTTACTTTGTTGAGAATGTGGCCATGTAATAAGCGGGATACTGTACACATTGCACATTGCATAATGTGCCTTCATGCCGATCTAGATCCCTCCGCAAAAAAAACAACCTTCGCAGGCGCGAGCCCGCTCCCGTCGTTCACTTAAAAGAGCCGGCTCACTTGTCGTCTAATAAATTATTTGGGTGCCTGTCTATTTCTTAATGTATACGAAATTAAATGCTGTTTGCCAACACAAAAAGTGATATCGGAAATGGGTATCGGAAAACCGGTATCGGGAAATATCGGGATCGGATCGGAACCTATATGAAAATATCGGAATCGGATCGGAAGCTAAAAAATGAGATCGGGACATCCCTAACTCGAACTATACTTTCCAAACTTGTTCTGTGCACACTTTGCATACAGAGGGTCAAGTGTATTAGTGCCTATCAACAAAGGAACATCCATGTTTGTTCTATGATCAGGCACAACAAGTGCAAGAGTAACAACTCTTTCAGCCTTCCCCATGACATCCTCTGGAAAATGGATGTTAGCTTGGACATACCCCAGATAAGGCACTTCTTGACCACCAGCGCCCTCTATGTCCAAAAGATCTTGAATAGGGAAGATTGGTCGATGTGAGAGATGGTTTTCATGAAATGACTTTGAAATTGTAGTCACTTGGGAACCGGAATCAAGAAGGCTTTCACACTGAACTCCTTCAATAGTGACAGTTGCTGTACACTTGGGGCCTATCAATCCTCTTGGAAGAAGAACATCAGATGACTGAGTTGAAGAATTATTTTTACTGGTAACTGTTTCTCTTTCTTGTTTTTGTATGGGACATTTCAGTTCATCACTGGGTGCAGTTATTCCCTCCACTGCGACCCGGTCCAGTTTAAATGGCCGAATTTGCTCTGCCATTCCTTTTGCCTTGCCTTCAACTCATTGTATTTCTGATCTACCAAGGGTTTATTTGGTGGATTTTTGCAATGTCTTGCTATGTGGCCATCATTGCCACATTTAAAACAGAACCAAGCCCTTGGCCTGGGATAATGTGTTGCTGCTTGCTGCGCTTGAAGATCTGCTGCTGCTTTAGCACGGGGATATTCCTGGGCTGGATTTGGGTTGTTAGAGTATTGCTGTGTTCTTTGATCTTCCTTCTTACTGAGCTGCATTTTTAGTTCAGCCACCTGCTTCCTTAAATCCTCTGTTTCTGTCATGTACTTCTGGAGTACATTAGCATTTGCATCATAAGGAAAAACCTCTGGCACAAGCTGCATATTTACAGATGATTTTGTTTTTGTTCCCCCAAAATGACGATGCATACGATCAAGCTTAGAAGCTCTCCTATCTTCTTCTGTACGCAACTGCAGTAAGAAGTCTGAAAAGTCAGGTGGTGTTGCAGAGTTATTAAATAGTTTTTTCTTTGGTAAAACTGTTTTTATAATGTAATTTTGTTTTATAAAATGTCAATTTGTCTCAAGCTTTGTTAAAGTGTTTCACACTTTGTAATTGTCGATTGCTCTTCTCAGCCACCGTACCTCAGCACCGTGACTCACTGAAACCAACGTCATGGTTGAAGCGTCTTATTGTATTTTAGGAAACTCTGGTTGGGTTTAATTATTTGTAGACATTATAAACTGTGCATTTTTTAACAGCATATCACTTAGGGCAGGGGTGTCAAACTCAAGGACCCCCCGACTTCATTTTATGTGGCCCGCAAGAGCTTGCAAAGAATATAATGTTTATTATATGGTTACATGCCGCTTTATAGAAGCGCGTTGCCCATAAACTACATGTCCCACAATGCATCTAATTTTTGTGACATGCGCACTGAAGAGACTTGCAATTTTGTTCAATTATTTTCTTTCTTCTGCTTTCAGACGTAGTTAATTATGAAGTTATTACCCTCTCCGATAATAATCCAATGCAGACGCAATCATGTAATATAAAACATTATTTTATACATATTAAATATTTATATATGTATATTTATATAGTCCTAAAATTGAAACCGGCCTTTTGAGTGCAACCATAATGCTAATGTGGCCCACAATGATATTAAGTTTGACACCCCTGATTTAGGGTTATTACTTTATTGCACTGTAAAACACTGTATATATTATAATATACATGTTTTTTTGTTATATTATATATATATATATATATATATTGAAGTACAAAGTCCATACTTTTTACCTTACATCTTGTGTTTAAATAAATATGTTTACATTTTTATTTCAAAATGTTCTTATTCGATCTTTTGCTTGTCATGTTTATACACATATATTTTATTCTATTACATTACATCTGATCTTTTTACCATTTTATTAGTTAAATATTTTGATTCTGATTATACTGATTAGCATTGCTAAACCTGAAGCTATTTAAGGGTAAATAATTAATTCTTAAATAAATAGTTTTTGTACTAA